TTGACGTGTTTGTCTCTTTTCAGCTCACTTAGACGTATCGGGACATTGTTCTTTTCCTCGATTTGTATAATGCCTTACCAGCTGAGATAAAACGATGTAAAAATTGAGCGGTTTAAGCAATTGTAAAAGGAGTATATTGTAGTTAATGTAAACCAGATCTGTATCACAAATAGCTGAGAAAGCTAATAAAGATCAATCAATCAATCAATCAATCAATCTCTCCAACGTGCATGTAAACGCTATCCTTGTCTTACGCCTCCTCGCAGCATCGCGTTCCCTCTTCCTCGCGGGTCCCTCGCCTATCGGTTAGGACGCGGGTCCCCCTCTTCTCAGTTTGCTGTGCTCTACCTGCTCACAAGCGTTGTCAAGGGTACTTTGGGACACCCTGTAAATATATATATATATATAAAATATAACATTTTAGGAGATGATAGTGTGTGCTCACGCAAATTATCAGTCGCGCGGCTTATTGACGTGCGTCCGGCTAAAGATCGGCGCTGATTGGCCTGATTTTACTCAATAATTACTCTTTTATTAAATGTTATAGAAAAAAACGATTCAGGACAAATGACAACAGTTACGTATGAGCGGTACATAACGATGGATTCTCGCGTCTTAGCAACGACATATCAATGCCACCCATACAGGTCGTCCTTTCTCATCGAGCGATAATACTTATGTGAATTGACCAATCTTTTTTAATTAATTACTCATTAATTATTGCAAAAATCGCAAAACAATACAGCACTTTCCTACTCGGTTTAATCCGCTCTACCTGCATATTACGGGTGGGGCGATTATTATCAGACACCCTGTATACGTGTATATTGTACTACATTTTATCTCGATATTCGTTTGGTTAACAATAAGTAGTATATCTTCGATTTGTTTAAAAATAAAAATATGAGAAAATAAATTGTTTTTTTTTATTCTACAGGCCACATTAAGATTAACTGATAGAGAATAACACGACATAATTCTATATATTAGAAAATGTCTAAATATGATAATGCAGTAGTAGAAAAAGTGCAGCATATTTGGATTACCAGATTTAATTTATAGTCACAAGGCCAAATTTGTGCATTTTAGTGGAATTTAAAATATCCTTTTAATAAACAAATAAATCATTTATTATAAAGAAACAAAAACTTAACAGATTTCTTACTCCTTAGGAAATCAAAATCAAAAACTTAAACTAACACCTAAATGATCAAAATTCAAAAGTCGGTAATGTGGAATAATGTATTATTCCACATTATAATGTAACGCGGTCACCTCGCTCGACGCTCGGATCGGCTCGTCGGTGTCCGGGTTCGAGAAGAGGGGAGATTCAAGCTTGCGTATACACAGTGATATTTTAAACATATTTACAATATTTACAGTGACGACTTGGTCGTTACAATAATATATTTTTTTTATTTGCAATAATCATATTTCTTATTTACAATAATCACACACATAAATGTGTTGTCGAAGTCAGTACATTTACTGTGCACCCAAGGGCTACACATGAAGCACATCTATAATTTACCTCAAACGTTATAACTAAAGCGTCTTTCGAAAAAAAGAAACACATCGCATCTTGATCGATCGGCTGAGAAGTTCCATGTGGCAATGGATATTCAGAGCATATGTTACATACATTAGCATACATTACATTAACATTATCTTAGATATTCAAAATTAGAAACATTCACCATTTTAAGTCAAGTTTGAATAGAAAAAAATACATAAACAAATCACAAAAATTAGGGGCAATTGTCAAAATTAATCTATATACGAATTAGTTAACGCATAAACTTATAAAAATTACTTACAAGTACTAAAACAGAATAACAAGGGATTTAATACCTACCAAAAAAGTTTTGAGTTTCGAACTTGCACAAACTTGCTCGCAGTCGTAATAGAACATTAGCCTTTCTGGTGGCATTTTCAGATATTTTGTTGTACGGATTTTTATCTAATTCTAATATTTACTGATAAATGGCAATATAATAACATCAATTTTTCGTAGTATTCCAAATTATCAACAATATCTCAAATATATACTGCACTTCCTCTAATAATTTCAAGTATGTGTATAATATTATTGATATTAAATAGGAAACATTAATTTGGTACAAGCAAACTATTTTAAATGATAAGTTTATTAACATTTAGTTACATTTTAATATACATTTGTTCATGCATTTCTATATTGAAAGCATTATGACGTGCTATTTCGAGCGTATCTAATATTTACAGTTTGCAACAGATTTCTTTCATTTGCATCTTATATTTCATATTTCGATTATTATACGAAGTACAGACAAATACGAAAAAGAAGTTTTTAAAATGGGAAACTATGATCTAGTTTCCACCGTAAGTATCAATTTGCATCTAGCGCGGCGTAGGACTAAATTTAAGTCGATGGAAACGTTAAATTCGATGCGCACCGAAACAGAATCGGACCGATGACTTCGGTGGAAACCGCGGTCCTACGCTGCGCTAGATGCGAATTAATACTTCGGTGGAAACTAGACCTATGATGAAATTTTCAGCCTGCAACGTAACTGGAGATTTTGTTTGCATAAGAATAAAGATTACGTTTCTTGCCAATTTCCTGGGAAAACTGTACCAAGCACTTTGATAAATAGAGAGCCCTATATTTTCTATTTCAGATTTCAAATAATTCCCTATAACACTATACAGCGTTAGCTGTGTCAGGAAAGCAGTCAGTATTATTAAACTCTTTCTTATCATAACGGTGTTATTGACTTTCAACGCGAAGATAAACTGAGATCCTGAAAAGAATATTTATCTGCTGAATGTAAATCTTTTTTATGAAAATGTAATTTATATATCTCGCTGAACAATCATAAATAACATAATATTCATCCATTATACATAATAATATACTGATAATGAATAGTTCTATTAGCAATACGAAACTCATCAGATCGGCAAGCTTCCTGGCAAGCGTTATCAGGTAACGATGTCTTTTAATTAGCGCGTTGAAACGATCGTAGATTTGCGGACTTGTAACATCAAAATTGATAAAATGGATTCTCAGAATATTTATTTGGCCGCAAACATGCAATGTAATGTTAAGAAACAACGCGTCGTTACCTTTGGGAAATGCATTGATGCACAGTAGTCTTATTGCATTAACTAGAAATTGCCTTCTAAGATATTTTCATAAATATTGATTTTATATAAAAAAGTTTAAGATAATAGTAAAATTATTTTAAAAGGGATACATTTTGGTCGTCTTAATTTTTTTTGGTGCAGGCGTCAGAAAGTTTTATAGGTCATCTCAAGTTTTTTCAAAGTTATTTCAAAATCACTCCACGATCAAGATGTCATATATCGTTCAATTCATCTTTTTATCTTCTACAATTATAGCTGATTAAAAATAGAGCTTTCCATTTAAAAAACTTAAGATAACTTTCAAAACTTTTTAAGGTCTGCACCTAAAAAAAAATATAATAAATAAGACGACCAGAATGTAGCCCTTTCAAAACAATTTAACTTTTGTCTTAAATCTTTTTTTGTTTAAAATCAATATTATTGAAGATATCTTACAAGGGACATTTGGCAACGCAAAAATACAAAAAAATTTGAAACTTTGCATAATTATAGAGTAATAGGTCCTAATAACGAAACGATTTTTTGTTGGGGCTGAAAAACAGTATTAGGGGTGGAAAGAACCACTTAAAAAATCGGTTTTTTTCATCCCGAAGCAAATATCATCGAAACGAAAAGAAATATGAAAAATTTCTATAAACGAAAGTTTTATGGTTTCAAATATACTTTACAATGGCATATTTGGATATTTCAAAAATGGTAACATTTTTCGAAATACCCCCTTCACTCAATATTTTTCTTTGATATTTTGAAAAAATTTTCAAATTATATTAAAGCTTATGTTGCGCCAGATTCAACCATGTATGATAAAGGTATGTTGCGGAAATTAATTCTTGAGAAATAAGATAAAGTCGCACGCTACCTATATTAATCTTATTCGCTTACTGTTTCATGATATGAAACTCTCATCTCTTTTTTCTTTTCTTCGTAATATCTCGCAATACACGATAACGATGCTGAATATTAGTAATAATATTTGTAGCCCAGTTACGTAAATAATCTTTCTATACTATATACATTGTATCATAATAATATAAAAAAACGGAATGAGAGTCTTGTATTATTTAAATAATATTAAATTATTAATTAATATTATAATTTTAAACGGTCATAATTTTAAAATAATATTTTGCAAATTAAAGTTTAATTCAAGATGTAGAAGCATAATATACGAAAAATGTTTAAATGTTTTATAAAATTTTTCCATCAACAAAAATTAAATTAATTTTAGAATTAAATTAAATTAATTATCAAAATATTATTTATTTTATGTAATTGTTACAATAATGATATTTTTCAAAGAAATGTTCAAAACAGAGATATTCTTTGCAACATGCACGACGTATAAAAGCCATTTTACCACAGATACTGCATCTTGGTATATGTTTTTCTTCTTTAAAATAACAAAAATTTATTGGATTATCAAACTTTCCAGGCCGCGTTGATAAGTACCCACTTTTGTACCAACTATATTTAAATACATTTTGAAATCTTGGAGAAGAAAGTTGATTATGTATTAAACTTTGTAGTTTTATTATATTATTATGTGGATGTAAATTTATGTCATAATTATTTAAAATAATATTATCAAAAAAATTGAACAGAATTTTTCCGAATTCTAAAACCGAAAACATCTAAAGGTTGTACAAAAGCAATTGTTTTTTTTTGGTATTGTTAAAATATTTACTTGTTTGTTTGCTGGTATAAATTCTTTTAATTGTTTCGGACAATGTCCTATACATGAATCAAGCAGTAACAGACTTTTTTCTCCAGTATTTCGTAAATATACTTCTTCAAACCAGTTTTTGAAATGTTGGCTTGTGAGTTTTCCGGATTTTGAAGCCGCAATGTAAACATTAATAGGTCTAAAAAGAGTTTCGTCTACTCATAGTCCAAATTTCCACTAGATTTTTTAGTACTATATACAGAGGCGAAAGAAGATGTCCATTTGCAGATATAATGGGCATAATGATATAGCTATGAGTCATAGAAGATAAAGATTGGATAGCAGATTCAACTTTTTTTACTCCCATATTAATTAATGTTCTTTCCATCTATTGGCAATTGCAAAACAGATTTTACCTAAAAGAAAAGAAATTTGATATTTAGAAAATGTAATTCAAAAATAAAAAGACTAATAAACTAACGCAGATAAACGTAGATAAACGAACGCAGATATGCAATGCAAGTAATGTAAGTCTGAAACATTTTTCTGCTTCCGTTATCATTTATTACCTACTATTTATACACAACGCAAATTTACCTGCTCGTTCAGCTCGTATTATTCTTCTTATGTTTGAATTAACTTTTTAAAACGATTCTGCACAGCAGTAATAGATAAATGTCCTTTTTTTCACTATTCCAAAATTCAACTGCTTTTCTTTTGTAATTTAAGTTTACATTTCCACAATACAAACTTCGTCTTCATAATTATCTTCTTCAGCATCAATATCATACACGTTCACAAATTGTACATCGTGCGGTTCCGACGGATTGGCAAAATCAAGTTCCCATTTGTATTTAATCTCAACATCATCATTTACAGCATTTTTTATTAGATCGGAAATGGCATCATGAAGTTCAACTTCATGGTGATTAACAAGTGAGACAGCAAAATTGGCAATGTTAAACGTTGTGATTAATAAATTTATAACATTTGCTATATTTATTCTTGGTATTTTCACAAATTGTGCGGTTCCGACGGATTGGCAAAATCAAGTTCCCATTTGTATTTAATCTCAACATCATCATTTACAGCATTTTTTATTAGATCGGAAATGGCATCATGAAGTTCAATTTCATGGTGATTAACAAGTGAGACAGCAAAATTGGCAATGTTAAATGTTGTGATTAATAAATTTATAACATTTGCTATATTTATTCTTGGTATTTTAATACAAATTGTTGTGTTGTCACCAGCAGAAGGAGTTCGTCTTCCGTGAAGAGTTAATTTAGGAAATCATATCTTGGATTTATTTTATATATAAAATTTTAATTTGGAACTCACAATCAGAATAAATTTCAGTAACTTGAATCGTATAATAATTGTTTAAATAACGTCAGACTATGAGTGAAATGCGGGGATAAAGTTCCGAAAAGTACTCACCCTCGATTTTTTTGAAACTCAGTATTCTTACGTATTTTGACGCGTTGATTACGAATATCATAGTGAAAATTGGCGACTAACTAATTTTCATGGCAAAAACCATGAAAAACCCATAAAAATTATAGTTTTTTACATTTATCTCAATAAATACGAAAAATCATGATAAATGTTTTTGTTAGACAAAAGTTTTAGATCTCACAGAGATAAACATTTTGGGCTTTATACATTTCCACCGTACGAATAATAGTTTTCGAGAAAATCAAAGTTAAACATATATCTCAAACTAATTGCTGTATAGGTGAAACTACAAAGACAGACAGTACTGCGTAGAAGTCCCAATATATAACCTCGTTTTGCGTTGAAAGTTGCAAACCCATGTGGAACCATTGCTTCGCGTGGAAAAGTGTATGCGTGGAAACAGTAAGTTCTACCCTCCTGCGGGGGACTCCACTACCAAAAAACTAGACAAATAGATCTGCATGGAACCTCGCTTTGCGTGGAAAGTTGCAAAGCCATGTGGAACCTCGCTTTGCGTTGAAAAGTGTATGCGTAGAAATAGTGGGTTCCGCCCCTCTGCGGGGGGCTCCACTACCAAAAAACTAAACAAATAGGTTTGCGTGGAACCTCGCTTTGCGTGGAAAGTTACAAACCCATGTGGTACCTCGCTTTGCGTGGAAAAGTGTATGCGTAGAAACAGTGGGTTCCGCCCTCCTGCGGGGGGCTCCACTACCAAATAACTAGACAAATAGAGTTGCATGGAACCTCGCTTTGCGTGTAAAGTTGCAAGCCCATGTGGAACCTCGCTTCGCGTGAAAAAATGTATGCGTGGAAACAGTGGGTTCCGCCCCTCTGCGGGGGGCCCAACTACCTAAAAACTAGACAAATAGGTTTGCGTGGACCCTCGCTTTGCGTGGAAAGTTGCAATTCCATGGAATCGTATATGTACTGCAAAGTACATGCTTAGATGGGAGGACAGATATAAGATTTAGAGTCCATCGTTTTTGTCGAAAACTATCACTCGTACGGTAAAAATAAATAAGACATAAAATGTTTATCTCTGTGAGATCTAAAATTTTTGTCTAAAACATTTATCATGATTTTCTGTATTTACTAAGATAAGCGTAAAAAACTATAATTTTTATGGGTTTTTCATGGTTTTCACCATGAAAATCAAATAATCGCCAATTTTCACTATGATATTCGTAATCAGCGCATCAAAGTACGTAAGAATACTGAGTTTCAAAAAAATCGGGGGTGTGTACTTTTCGGAACTACATTCAAGCTCTCCAAATAAGCTACAAGAATTTGTAATAAAAAATGGAAGTTCCGTTTAAGAAAACATCGATCATATTGACCTCATCTTGAAAAGGTCATTCAAGGTCAAATCTATACTTTTATTATGTGGCCCCCTCAAAATCATGCAACTTTTATTTGAAACATTTTTTCCAATCTCTTTTACTTTAAGAGATATTCAGCTGCATCACTTAAAATGATACATTCTGTATAAATATGATTTATATAACAAGGTCTGCAACAAATATTATTACTAATACTCAGCATCGTTATCGTGTATTACGAGACCTTACGAAGAAAAAAAAGAGATAAGATGTCATGAAACAGCGAGCGAATAAGATTAATATAGGTAGCGTGCGTCTTTATTTTATTTCTCAAGAATTAATTTCCGCAACATAACTTTATCATACATGGTTGAATTTGGCGCAACATAAGCTTTAATATAATTTGAAAATTTTTTTAGAATATCAAAGAAAAATATTGAGTGGTGGGGATATTTTGAAAATTGTTAACATTTTTTAAAAATTAAAATATGCCATTGTAAAGTATATTTGAAACCATAAAACTTTTCTTTAAAGAATTT